AGGAGTTGAACGTAGGAAAGTTCACCTACTCTTTGATAAGGATTGTCCGTCCGCTATAAGCAAATTTTGATGTCTCATCTTTTAGTTCGTCTCCGAGTGAGTCCGATGCAGAATTCACCTAAAATGCTTTTTGACTCTCATGCTTATCCTCCTTAGCTTAGGTTTCCTCCTCACCTTTTCCTTTGCTTGGGGTTGATTTTAAGTGAGGGCAATCAGTTCTTCACAGGTCCTAGTTTCCTGTATCCTAACAACGACATTGAAGAAGAATCCTTTGAATATTTATGTGCCTTACCTTTTCTCCAATGATGGCTTTTGCTTCTTCTTTAGAAAGCTTTTGAATTACCTGTGATGAAGGCAACTTTCATTGCTCTCTTTGACCGGAAGAATTCGGAGTCAGATTTGTGCGCCTCAGTGGCAACTATTATTCTCCTTCTTCTTTCTCACACTGCATCATAATTTCTTTGATTCACCTTGCTCGTAAGCAATGGTGATCAAGTAAGTTTATCACTAGAATAAGTGTTCAGATCCTTTAGATTCAGTGATTATTGCAGTGATTTTAGCATCATATGACGAGGCAAGTAATTCAAAATCTGTTTAACTTTTTCATAGTTTGAAAGTTTCTCTCTAATGCATGTAGTGAAGTGATTATCTGTGTACCTGTAGATACTTATCAGACATAGATGTCGAATGGTTTCATCACAAAAGTTTCGTAGTCAATTTGCAAGAGAATATTCAAACGAGGATTGTTTTCACTTCATTGGTTCCTTCTAGTGATACATACACCTATCCCAAATCTCTTTACCAGTTGAACAAGTAGAACACAGCATGTAATCTCAGATTTAAAGCAGCAGAAAAAATGTTACATTTTTCATTAATTGGGCTAAATCTCTTTCATCGAAAGTCCATTCCAGTAAAAGCAATTTCATTTTAACACAATTAATTTCACGAGAAGGTGGAGAATAACCTTCTTTGATAAGCATACCACATAGCGATATCAGTAGATTGTAAAAATGTTTGACATGCGGGATTTTCCAGAAATCAAAAGGTTTGATTATGCGAACAGGGGAGGTCGGGTATGAACCCTTCCGTAGTGTTACGATTCCCAAAGTTAGCCATGCGATCAAATTCAAAAAGTTCTTCAAACTAATTTTTATGAACTCGCGCCTGATACACTACTGAAAGTTGTTAGGGATGTTAAGCCCTATATACTGGCCATAGCTACCAGAGGGGGGGTGAATTCGGTATTTTAAAATTCTTTTCACAAAGAAGTAAAAATCACATAAAGCCAAAATCAAACACAAAAAATAAGTGGCGGAAATTAAAGTGTGGAAGCAAAAATAAGAACATAGAAATTATAGTGGTTCAGTCAACTCGACTACGTCCTCCCTCAGAGGTGCCCTCGAGTATTGCACTACATCTGGGGCGTGAATCTCCTTTAAGCCCCCACAACTAGGCCGGAGAAGCCTTTACAAAGAACCTCTTTTGCCACCCCGGCAAGGCAGAGAACTATCTCCTTTTG